TGTGGTTTAGATATTGACAGATAAATTTGAGGCTGTCTGTTTAAAAATAGCTCAACTTTACGTTCATCATTATCCTTGATACTAAATGCCACAATCTCTCAACAAAAATTTAATCCATGGTTCTGAAATTATTAAAAGTTTATGTATTCTGAAGAAGCTAAAGAAACACGCAATAACGACTTTCAAAACTATCTTGAACATTTTGCAAGATAAATATCTCGTATGAAAACTAATCAAGATTTGTTAAATCGACTTCTGTGTACATCTGATCTATTTGTTGCATCTCTGAGAAAGACAGCAGGAAGTCACGCCAAAACGAAAAACTTACCAGCTGAAGTTATTGATTTACTAAGGTAATCCACAGATGATATTAGTTTATAAATGTGTCTTTTGTATCTTTATAATTTTGTCAATGTCTGTACCTATATGAAAGTGTGACTGTAAATTAAAACAATTAGTTATGCTCAATCCTATTAGAATCATCAAATTAATTTGCATACCAAGTTTAGAAACATTTGGATAAAAATAACCCTTAGGAACTAAGCATAAATATGTGTTGCAATGCAAATGGGGTTATTTTGGCAACCACAAAAAAAACAATGCTCATTTAAACTATAACCATCCAATTAATTTATATAACAAATTTTGAGGCCTATGGATAATAGAAAAAAAAAAAAAGACTTTTTTCCAAAAATATGAGATTATGGCCCACTGTGCATTTCTTTGATTGATTATGCAGACTGAAAATTTGAGCAAGTTATTTGGCTCAGTAAGTTTGGTGGTTGTTTGTAGGCAATAACTAGTTGAACACTGTCAGTCAAACCATTAATTAGCATATCTTTGTTACTCTTTCTAATTATGGTTAATTTAAATTTAATGTGCTTTTTAATTCACCGATTTGCACTTCAATGTTTGCCAATCGTCCCAATAATACCAATATATCTTTTTGGGATACAACTTCTTATAACAATAAAGTTAATAATATTCTTAAGAAACTATTCAACAAATTACATACAACATTTACAATTTACGAAGGTAAATACAACATTTACTAATAAAGCAAATAAAATTAAAGAAAAAGGGCCAAACTTTTAATGATAAAAATATAAACTTGCCAATGGATTCATAATATTTTTATGAATTATGGAATTCGCTGGTATGCATCTAGCACTGAAAGAAAACAGTTTTCGTTAATGTTTGAGATACAGACTGCACTGTATGACCAAAAAAATTAATATTGAAAAAATGTTTCTCAAATGTTTGTAAATAATTTTTTAAATTATTTTTATTCTGAATAATAATAATAATACAACTTTTAAAAGTAATATCATCTATAAAATTACTGTATTACCCTAATCTATTAGATAAATTTGAATAAACATTTATATAATGAGTAATAATGAACCATAGACAACTGATAAAACTATAAACTCATATGAATACTATGTTTTCGTTCCTAACAGTTAATTACAAATGGATTTCAAAGTTGGTTTAAGCTTTGATATGTTGAATATTGCACAGTATAATATTCATTAACATTTTAACTTTTTGACTGTAATATTTAAAAAACGTAATTGAAAACTGTAAAAGTTAAAGCTATGAATAAAGATTTCCTATCATCAGATAAAAAGTCTTTTGAATTAAAACTGACTATAAAAAAAGTTTTGTTCATCCAACTTCTCAAGGCAAACTTTGAACTTCTGCAAATAGTTTGGAGTTACAAGTAAATTCAAAAGTTTAAGAATATTTTTTTGTGTTATTTTATGAAATTGAAGATAAATCATAACTAAAATAATCTGAAGAATCATCCACACCAAGATATGAATTTTTTTTTTATCTCTCTAATCTTTATTTTGGCTGATCATATTTGCTGTTTAAATTTTTTGCCTCAAGTGCAGAAGTTTAGCCTTCTACTAAGTTCAATCTTGCATTGCGATAAAAATCTTTAAATCAATTTATTAATAAGTAAGTTTTAAATAAAGTTAATATAGAAACATAAGGTTGTTAACTGTTGTACGCTTAACTAAATATGAACGATATCCAATACAATCAATTAAAACTAAAAGAAAGATGGAATACATACATGATTTAAATTAGTTGAATGTATCAATTTTTTATTAGAACATCCGTTTATATTTGACATTAAGGAAAAGTATTTTAGTACTAAAAGTAAGTCTTTTTTTTAAAATTATTTTAAATCATTTAAAGGTTAACTTTAAAATAGTATTTCTTAATTTGGCTTAAAAAATATTGGTTACTAAATCCTTTCTTAACTTTGATTTGATTAAATTATCAATGAGAAAAATCATTAAGAAAAAAATTGATGAAATCATCGATTTAAGTCATGATTTAAATCGGATGAATAAAAATCATGATATAAATTGAGTTTTTTGATTTTAATTGTTTTTAATGATTTAATCTCATAAGTTTTAACGTTGACAAATTTTTTCCGTTGGGCCAACATTTAGCTAATGTTTTTTTCGGCGTAATATTTAAAACAAACAAATCTGTTTATCGCAAATTTCGTATTATGTTGAGCCAATATTTGGCCAATGTATTATCGGCCTAATATTTTGCTAAAAAAAATCTGTTCTTACACAGTTGTCGTAGCCAATACTTGGCCAATGTAGTTGCGAATCATTTTATTAGTAATATTAAAAAATTTGTTGCATAACTTTTTTAAAAAATTGTATTGTTTTACAAAGTAAAGAAAGGTTTTTATACTATCTATCTATTTAAAAAAAAAAAAAAAAAAAAAAAAAAAAAAACATAGACTATATTTATTATTCTTTAAGAATCTTAGAAGATTACCTTATAAGAATTCAACTTCAAGATGTTCTTGTGACCTAATGTTTTATTGTTTTTCTTGCGACTAAATGTTTTATTTAAATAATGTGCTTATAACATTTTGCTACAATCTAAATTATCAATAATCATTTTTTTTTGTGTAAGATCTTACAGTTATTATTTTTATCAATACTGTTTGTTTTGTATTGACATATCAAATGTTTGTTTTTATTTATTAAAGAAGATATTTAAAATGTCTACTTTATTTAAAATGTTATACATTCATAAGTAATGAATAAAAAAATTACTTTAGGATCTTACACAAAATAGTTAATAAACGTATCAATAGTACCTGCAAATTAATCATTACTAGTGTCATTAGATATATAATATTATATATGACTACTACAATGGCATTTTGGTTGTTAGAAGCTGATGTTTAACATTTTAAATATGTTTCTTTTATTTGGTTTTTTTATGTGTTTGATTGTGAAACCCTATCTACTAACATATTAACACAGTGTATAACATGTGATGAGCCTAAATTCGACTGATGTAGAGCTTTCTAGTAATGCCAGAAATTTTATGAAAAGATCAATGACTAGTCTATAATAATTGATCGACTTATGAGATTAAACCATTAAAATCGATAAAAAAGAAAAACTCAATTTAAATCATGATTTTTATTCGCCCATTTAAATCATGATATAAATGGACGAATAAAACAATATAAGTAAACTGATTTAAATCAATCGTTTTAAATCAAAATAACCCTGTATACATTCCATTTTTTAATTAGTTTTTAAATAATTTTATTGGATATGGTTTATATCTAGTTTGCGTACAACAGTAAACAAACTTAAGCTTATACATTAACTTTAGTTATAATTTAATTATTAATGAATTGATTTAAAGATTTTTATAACAATGCAAGATTGAACTTAGCAGAAGGCTAAACTTCTGCTCTGGAGAAATAAAATGAAGACATCAAAAACAGTTAGCCAAAATAAAGATTAAGTAGAAAAAATTTATGTATATCATGATGTAGACAGTTCTTCAAATTATTTTAGTAATGATTTATCATTTTCATATAATAATACAAAAAATGCAAATAAACTTTGGGATTTACCTGTAAGCCTTTTTATCTGATGATAGGAAATCTTTATTCAAAGCTTTAAATTTTACAATTTTCAAAGTCTTTTACATACCATAAAATGGGGTGTATAGCAAAAGTAGGGGTGAATTGCAACAAAACTTCATAAATATTTTGAAAATTTTGCTACTTATGATCCCTTTTAAATGCAAAGGAAAGTTTCATTCTAATATATGGGTAATTACCTGTTTTGTTAGAAAATTATATTAAATTATGTTGGCATCCCTGTTTGAGGTTGTTGTTGTTGATTAATTTGCCGCTGAAAATCTTTGAGAAAATTTGTTCGTCAAAAGCTATGACTGTAAGTATGACACTGTTATTTCAATTAACTTATATTGTTTTAAAGGTGACTTTATGTATCTTACAAACAAAACTTGAATGACTTTAAGCTAAATAACAATAACTTATTTATACAAAATAAATTTTTTAGGTTAGGCATGGTTTTAACAAAACCTGGGGTGAATAGCAACACACTTTTTTCTGTTGCTATTCACCCCTTAGTTCTCATAAACAACAGCTGATTGTTTTTTTTGTTATTTTTAACATAAATACTGACTGCAGGTATTTAACTTGATCACAGATTATATAAATATATTTATTTGATTACTGTAAGAGCTGTTTTTTGTTTGGTATGATTTGTGGCCTAACTGAAAGAGGATGCCTCGAAAGTATGTGAGTATCAAAAAATGCAGGCAGTATGACCCTGAAGTGATGAAAAAAGCTCTTAATGAAGTACAAATTGGTGGTAGTTTTAGAAAAGTTGCATAAAAATATGAAATAGATCATTCTGTTCTTCACAAACAAGAGGTGAAACTAAAAAAAAAAGAGGTGAAACTAAGAAAAAAGGTGGCCAAACCGCTTTGTCGGAATATGATGAAAACCTCTTAGCTAGTAGACTTCAGATCTGCAGTGATTGGGGATATCCAATTGACTCAATTACTTTGAGACTGCTAATTAAAGATTATATTGAAATGCAGGGCAAAACTGTCCCAAAATTCAAGGATAATATGCCTGGGCCTGATTTTGTACACAGCTTCCTGGAACGACACAAGAAGGAACTATGGCTCGCATGTGTCAAAATATTAAACGGTCGAGAGCGGCAGTTAATGAAGAGACTATAAATGAATACTTTGACCATCTTGCTACAGAACTAAAAGATATTCCGGCAACTAATATCATCAACTACGATAAAACCATCTTATGCGACGACCCGAGCCGGAAAGTGGTTATAGCTCGGCGGGGCTGTAAGTATCCCGAAAGAGTTATGAACTCTACAAAGGCTTCAGTGTCGGTTATGTTTGCCGCTGCTGGTGACGGAACCATATTATCGCCTTATGTAGTATACAAAGCTCAGCACATGTATGACAGCTGGAGAGTTGGGGGACCACCAAACTCGAGATTCAGCAGAACGAAGTCAGGGTGGTTTGATTCGTATTGCTTTCAAGACTGGGTCGAGACCATTGCAATACCACATTTATCAAAACTCAAAGGAGTGAAGGTCTTGTTAGGTGACAACTTGGTTTCACACCTATCTGTAGATATCATTAAAACATGTCAAGAACATAACATGAAATTCGTATTTTTACCAAGCAACTCCACTCACCTTACACAACCACTGGACATGGCATTCTTCCATCCCCTTAAACAGACTTGAAGATCCATCCTTTTAAAATGGAAACAAGGCCCAGGAAGAAGTGAAGCGTCTTTGCCAAAGGATCGATTCCCACCTCTACTAAAAGAGCTATTTGTGTCACTTAAAGAAGCGAATGTTGTTTCTGGTTTCAAAAAATGTGGCGTTGTTCCACTGAATAGGGAAAAAGTCCTTGGCATGATGCCTCCCTCTAAAGGTTCTCAGAGATTAGTTAGCAATGAAGCTGCCGCTGAAGCCTTGGATGCCAGCTTCAAGCAATACATGGAATCTGTAAGACAATCCGACAAACCGAAGGCAAGGCAAACAAGAAAAAAAGTATCCATCCTTCCAGGTAAAAGTGTTGAAGTTGCAGACTTTCCAACAGAGGTTTCTACTGACAAAAATGAATGTACAACAGGACCTAGTAACACGAGCAAAGGACCAAAGAACACATTAAAAAGGAAAAAACATGTTAAAGATCCTGATGATTCAACTACTGAAGAGTGTGACTATTCGCTCCAAGACAGGGATGCAGAATGGAGGGAGAGCTTCTCAGAGGAGGATTCATTTTTATCGGTAAACAAAATTTTGAAAGAAAATGATTTTTCAAAGTTTTCACTTGGGGACTTTGCCCTTATAAAAGTGATTGGAAAGAGAAAAAATTCGTTTCACTTGTATGTTGTTAAAGTTATAGAATTTGATGAAGAGGGATATATTGGAAAGTTTTACAAGAAGACCTCCCATGGCTTAAGATTTTTGGAAACGGACGAAGAAGCACTCTTCAAGACACCTAAGGATGTCATCTGCAAGCTTGGAAAACCGAAATTGTGCACAGCTGGAAGATTTCAATGGCTTATTTCATTTGATGATGATCTTGATGGGTTTAAAATAAATTAAATGCATTCAGTTTTCTTAAAGATGTTCAGAAACCTTTAGATTCAATTTTAGGAAAATGTTTGCTTAAAAATATAATTTTGTCACTTTTTTCTTAGAATTTAACAAGTTTTATATGAATTTTGTATTTTTTAAAATCTTAAATACATTGTGTGTACAAATTTAACGTGTTGCTATGCACCCTGTGTTATTTCTAATGGCAAAATTTAACCAGTGATGCTATTCACCCCAATTAGCTGGGTGAAAAGCAACAGGCACATTTGATTTTTTTTTGGCAACCTGAATGAGTTCATTTTATTTTTCCACTGTTAACTTGTAAAGGAGTGCAAGACCAGACTTTTAAGCTTATTACAACCCTTTTCAGGGCTTAAACAGAATATCTGTGTTAGTCAAAAAGCCACAAACTGTTGCTATACACCCCATTTTACGGTATATTACAGTCAAAAAAGTGCAATATTTAACATATGAAAGCTTACACCGACTTTGAAATCCTTTTGTTAACAACTCTTAGAGAAAAAAAATAATCATGTGAGTTTAAAGTTTTAACAGTTGTCGATGGTTCATTATTATTCATTATAATAATGTTTATTTAAATTTATTTTATAGACGTAAAGTAATACAATAATTTTATAGATGATATTGTATTTAAAAGTTGTATTATTATTGATATTCAAAATAAAAAAAAAATTAAAAAATTATTTACTAACATTCAAGAAACATTGTTTTAATATGAATTTTTATTTTACAGGGCAGTCTGTATCTCAAACCTTAACGAGAACTGTTTTGTGTCAGTGCCAGAAATTAAATGCACATCAGCAAACTCTATAGTTTGTAAAAATATTATGAATCTATTAGCAAGTATATATTTTAATTATTAAAAATATTCCCTTTTGTCTTTAATTTTATTTGCTTTATTAGTAAGTAATGTATTCACTTAAATAAATTCTAAATAATGTATATAATTTGTTGAATAGTTTCTTAAGAAAATTATTAACTTTATTGTAGCAAGATAAAATTGTATCACTTAAAGATATATAGATATTATTGGCCTAATTGACACACAACTTGGTGAACTACAAAATATATCAAATTTGATTTTTAGCATATTTCGAAAGAGAAACAAAGATATACTAAATAATGAATTACCTGACAGCGTGTCATTGCCACCTAAAGCACGAGAGAATTTATGTTCTCTAGAATAAAAAATTGAAATACAAGAAAAAACTAAAGCAAATGGTAAATATTTTTTTATGATTTGTTTATGCACTTTCTATGATATCTTCATATAATTTATGTACTTTAAACAAAATACTCCTAAAAGGTTTTTTGCAAATGAGACTTCTTATGTGTTTAAGTTTAACTAAAAGTAATCTTATTAGTTGCAAGGTTGTATATTTTTTTGCAGGTTAGTTATTTGGGACAAACGGGAGTTAAAAACAAAAGAGATTGGATATGTTATTTACTAAGAATAGTTTTTAAAACGGCTAAGCTGTATAATTAAACTATGCAGGGAGAGGACAAAATATAGCAATAGGAAAAATTTGATCGCATTTTTTCAGTATCAACTTTGCATAACACAATAACTTTCAAATTTTTATGTTTCTTTGGTGCATTAAACAAACAACTATTT